CTTTGACAGTATCACAGTATCAGCTTAAAGCACTTGTTGCAGGCTGTTGAGTTTGCATATAAAGCACCGAAATGTGCGCTGCTTTTCGGTCTGGTTACTACCGTTTATGTCAGAACCGGTACCCATCCCTAAACATGACACAGAAAAATATCATCCTGGGAAAATGTATGTGTCATCGCAGTGGATTATCTTTAAAATGTAAATGCAGGTTATCTGTTTTCCTCTTGATGAAAATATGTTATATCTCCCACACTGCATACATGAATCGTATCAGCACACTAAAAATATACTGCAAGACAAACTAAATATTTTTTGTGAATTTGTTTATTTAAAAAGATCCAGTATGTTTTCAGGATATGGATGTGTGACTAATCAGTGAAAAAAGATGGGCAGTGGGTCACTTTAATTATCAGTGATTAAAGGCCTGGAGGCTTGTAATCTGAGAGTGATCGCATTATTTTGCACTAACTCATATGCAAAGTCAAATTTGCTTTAACCAACAAAGCAATAGTAATAAGCACAACACTGATTATGGTGATATTGTCCCGAGTGTACTCCAAAGAAAACATGGAACTGTCTACTCTCTGCATTGATAGATAACATATAGAACTGTAGGATACCCATTTATGCCATCTGAGTGTTATTAAAGATTTTATATATACATCATAGGTAGTAAAATTGGATAATCTCTGCTAAGTTTCTCTTAGTATCTAATAAGCCAATCACAAGGCAGCAACTCAGTGCATTTAGGCATGTGGAATTAATCAAGATAGCCTTTTGAATTTCAAACTGATCATCAGAATGGAGAGGAAAGGTGATTTAAGTGACTTCGAATGTGGCATGATTGTTGGTGCAAGACTTGCTGATAGTCTGTCAAAAATATTTATCTAGTGCAATTTTCCCACAAAACCTTCTCTAGGGTTTACAGAAAATGGTCCAGACAAGAGAAAATATCCAGTGAGCAGCAATTGTTTGTGTGAAAATGTCTTGTTGATGGCAGATGTCAGAGGAGAATGACCAGAAACTAGTAATTAAAAAAAAACAACCCTAGTTAAAACCAATGTATACATAATAGCATCTCTGAACACACGTCAAATCTTGAAACAGACAGGCTACAGCAGCAGAAGACCACACTGCAGTTTGCACAGCCTGACCAAAATTGGAAAGTCAGACTGGTTTCTTGAACTTGATGATGAGTTCAGTGTACTCAAAAGGCCTCCACAGCCACCAGATCTCAATCCAGCAGCACAACTTTGGATACAGAAGAGTCACATCATAAATATATTATTATTAGTATTAATAATGATGGTAATAATAATAATAATAATAATAATAATAATAATAATAATAATAATAATAATAATAATAATAATAATGTGCCTCACCAGCTGAATTATACTGATACACTTTTCCAACTATAAGTTACACTAATTCACATAGTTTGGTACTGAAAAACTGAAACACCCATATCTCTCTTAAGTTATTACAGTGCAAGCTCAGTTTAACTACTAGGATCACCTTGCTTTAGTGATTCTGCAATTCGACTGCCATGGTAAACCAGCATTTCTTGGGAGGCCAGTGAGTGGACAGTCTTTGGATAGTCTTATTCAGGTCAGAATTTGGGAGGTACCCATCTTGCCTTGCAAAACTGAAAAGAGGTCATTCATCAAACTGTGCAGCTAGTTTTAAAAGCATGAGCCTACTCGAAAAGTGTACAACAAATGGAAATCTGTTGAGGACATCCTGCACTTACAGTCAGCTCCCTTAGTGTGTGGTGAGTTCATTGATCCACTTCTGCACCTGGAGATAATGTCTCTCCTGTTTGTCTCCTGCTTTGCATTTGCAGTTTAACATGCAGATGCTTTTCTACTGTCTCAAATCCTGGCTACATTTCTCCGAGTCTACACTACGTGTATAGTTGTAATTATGCATAAGGTGTGGGAGTGCAAGCATATTTTTTCATTTATTTATTTATTTATTTAAACTGAATAAATATGGATATTTTTCTATCCATTTTTTATATATCTAAATAAATATGGAATAAAATATGGAATAAAAAGTTTGAGAACATTTGAGTAAATGCCCCCCTGTGAAAGTTAGTTTCCTGTCCAGTTCATAAGATAGGACATTTAAGAAAGCTCGATCTTACAGAGACGTTATGAAAGTAAAGATGACTGGACTCCGTCTATGGAGAAGGAAGTAGCACGGCTACTTCCCATAATTCATTGCGTGAACCCGTTAACTGACGTGATCTTCGACGACTTCTTTACATATCTTTCATTTAAAGGCTCTGTGGTGGTACACACGTGGGAATCTTTATCTCGCCGCTACCGCTCTAAAGGTAAGGCTTTAGCACAGTTATTTTACAATGTAATGTCGTATAAACCCGGACGCAGTTGTCCAAACAAGTTACAGTTATCGTACTGGCCTGGGCTCGGCTATGAAAGGATATAGATTGTTAAACTGTTGGCTAACGGCAAGCTAGCTCGGTTAGCTTGACAGACTGTAGTCAGCTAGCAAAACAGTAAACCAAAGCAAATATTCAGGTAGGACAATTCAGTTGAAGTTTTCGTAATAACTTTTTTAAATAGCTGTGCAACATGCCCCCTGTTGCTTCGTTTGTTTAAATTAACTTGAATGAACTGATGTTAGACATTGTCTCGTTGACTTTAGCTAGCTGAAAAACTGAGGAGTGCTTTGTAATTAAACTACGTTTAGGGCGATGCACAGCGACATCAGTGTATGTTAGTAATGCAGCACCACTAAGACTTCCACATTTTGAAACATTGTTTGCGCGTTGTCTATCTGCATTTGGTATTTCTTCTGAAATGGTATTGTATTTTTGTAGAAATGTTAAACATTTTTAAAATATGGTCTCTTAACAGGTGGACCTGAAGCAGACATGTCGAGTGAGGACGTGGAGCGGCTTTTGATACAGTTTCAGGACGAGAATGGGGAGATTCTGGGTTCACCTTTCGATGTGCCTTTAGACATTACCCAAGACAAACTACAGCTCGTCTGCAATGCATTGCTTCAGAAGGTAATTATACAGCATAAGTATACAGTGTTTTGTGTAAATGTATAGCCCAGATTGAAATAATCAAATATGATGGTCATGATATCAATTTTGAATTGAATATCTAGTAAACATGCTTTTTCTTTTCTTTTCTTTTTTTCCTGCTGTCATCCACTCTAGGAGGAGCCAGTCCCGCTGGCATTCTTTGTGCAAGGGGAGATGGAGGTGGTGTCCAGCCTGGGGACATGCGTTAAGGCTCTTGGGGTTGAAACCGAACAAGTTCTGCCTGTGGTGTACCAGCCTCAAGCTCTGTTCAGGGTTCGGGCTGTGACACGCTGCACCAGCACACTGCAGGGACACACTGAGGCCGTCATCTCAGTCGCTTTCAGCCCCACTGGCAAGTGGGTACCTTTGACACAAAGTGAACAGATGTCAGCTTTTCTCTGCCAGTTTGTCATAATCTCTTGTACCTTTTGGGTTGGAGTTGTGTAACAGTATATGAAAATGGAATTATGTTGTAACATCACACCTCTAATTAGATTTAAACATTGATCCATTTGTCTGTTTTTATTTCAGATATCTGGCCAGTGGTTCAGGTGACACCACGGTGCGCTTCTGGGACTTGACAACTGAGACGCCCCACCACACATCCAGGGGTATAAAATAACATCTACAAGGCAGCATGATCTGATAATCATTGAACTTCAAGTGACGGATTGCTTTAATACACCATTGTTCATTTTAGGACACACACACTGGGTATTGAGCATCGCCTGGTCACCTGATGGAAAGAAGCTGGCTTCAGGATGCAAGAACAGTCAGGTGTGCTTCAAAAACAAACACACGTGATCCATAATTAGGTTTCAAAGATGCATTCATTAAACCTTTCTATTTTTCTCTTTCTCTAGATATGTCTGTGGGATCCAGTGACTGGTGCGCAGATAGGGAGGACTTTGACAGGACACACCAAATGGATCACTTGGCTCTGCTGGGAACCTCTTCATCTGTGAGCACTCGATCTATTTTTCACTTCCCTGAATTTCTCTGTTATTTGACTGCAGACCTCTCATTCAGACCCATTTTATATACGAAACTTTAAAAAATGTACAGTACTTTTACTCCTTTCTAAAAATCTAGAAGTTTTTTAGGGAAAAAAATAGTCTTTTGCGCTTCACATGGATCTGCATGCAGATAAATCCTGTGATTTGTGAACTACAGCTGGACTACAAATAAAAGCAAAACGACTTGAGCTACCAAAAATCTCTTCCCTTGCCTGATAATCTGTATAAATGTGTTTATAGAGATGGCAGTTAGTTGCATAGCAATTACAAAAACACTCCACTGAAATATTGCACTGTGAAATGAAACTGTAACACATGAATTCTGTTTCATAAGAAGCCAAACTTAATTTAAAAGCATTTTGTAATTTACAGTTATACAAACGATATTGTAGATCAGACTTGGACTCTTAAGTTATTCAGGAAGAGGCACATCCTTTGAGTCAGGCAGCCAATATATGTTCAGATATATCTAAACGACTTATTCAACAGCAGGATGGAGAGAGTGTCTGTTTTTTAGGCTGTTGGAAAAACAATACTGTGTTGGAAATGTGCTGTAATTGTCAGAGTAGTTTTGGCAAACAAATAAATCACAAGGTTTCAGAAATGCCTTAAAGTTACAGACACAAGAATTTAGTTTCCCTTAAATGTGAAGTCACTACATTGCAACTGTGCAGGTATTGATTATAATTTGATTATCATGTTGGACTAACTTAAACTTTGTGGTCTTATAGTTGTCTTTATTCTTATCCCTTTCAGTAATCCAGAGTGTCGGTACTTGGCCAGCAGCTCTAAGGACGGCTCAATACGTATCTGGGACACAGTGTTGGGACGATGTGAGAAGATCCTGACTGGGCACACTCAATCAGTGACATGCGTGAAATGGGGAGGAGATGGACTTCTGTACACTTCGTCCCAGGACAGGACTGTCAAAGTGTGGAGAGCAAAAGATGTAAGTCTGTGTGTGAAATATATGGTTTTAAAGGGTTATAAGAGTGATATGGTATGGGGTTTTTTTTTTCATTAATATGTTAAACAATATTGGTGTGTATTCTTGTGCATGAAACATGAGTAATCCAGTTCACTGTTTTTATTTAGTTATTGTTTTTCTTTTGTTTGTTTTTTGTTCCTTGTGCATAAAGAATGTAGGCTAATAATGCTAATATAGACAAATGTTATGGCATCAGAAAGGCATTTTCACCCAGAGAGCTGCTGCTGCCAGCTGTGTGGGGAAAATCCCAGCAGATCTGCAGTTTCTGAAATACTTATATCAGCTCATTTGGCGCCAACGACCACCTTCAAACTCACCTTTCTTCCCCTTTATGATGTTTGTTTTTAACTTCAGCAGGTCGTTCTGGCCATGACTTCACATCTAAATGCCTAAACCCATTGAGCTTCTGCTGTGAAGTTGATGAGATATTTGTGGTAACATGCAGTTGAGCATGTGTACCTAACAAAATGGCTGGTTATTATATTTCAAGTATATACATACTGTTAACATAAAAAAATTGTTGCTCTTAGAGAGCCCTTGTGCAGGTTAGTTGAAAGGTTTTATGATTAGACTTATTAACAGCATGTTCATGTGTGGCTGAGACACTAAAATCTTAATGGCCACAGAGAGGATGAGGATAAGAGCAAAGAGAAATCCCTGAAGTGTTTGGATGAAACGTGTGTTTAGTTTCATCTCTTTGATGCAGGGTGTCCAATGCAGGACTCTGCAGGGCCACGCCCACTGGGTCAACACCCTGGCTCTCAGCACTGACTATGTCCTGCGTACAGGAGCTTTTGAACCCGCAAATGCCACTGTCAACCCTCAGGATCTCACTGGATCATGTAAGACCCAAAACACTTGCATGTTCTTTAACATTCTGATTTTTAGTAACTGATCATTGCCATGTATGGTGAGTGTTTGTTTTTGTTTTGGGTTTTCTTTAGCATTTACTTTTTAATAGGTTTGACTCCAGAAAACAACGTGTCACATATGCACCACACGGTCTGACATTTTACCATTTAGACAGGTTTTTTTAGTAGCAAAAAATGTGTGATATTAGAGTGTTTTGGCAGCACAGATACAGCTAGCATGGCTGCTGTGTGTTCGGTCACCTTTCTGGTCTCACAAAGTTAAAGGGGGTTGTTTTCATATAACAAGTTTTTCTTCTTCTCTCCAGTGGAAGAGCTGAAGGAGAAAGCCTTAGAGAGATATAATAAAGTCAGGGTAGGTACCCTTTGTTGAGATTTGTAAAAAGTCACATGTCCTTCCTCCCTGTTTTAGCGCCCTGACCTTTATCTTCTGCTGCAGGGCTCAGCTCCAGAGCGCTTGGTTTCCGGCTCAGATGATTTCACTTTGTTCTTGTGGAATCCTGCACAAGACAAAAAGCCTTTGGCCAGGATGACGGGCCACAGCGCTCTGGTCAATGAAGTGCTCTTCTCCCCAGACACCAGGCTTCTTGCCTCTGCCTCCTTCGATAAGTCTGTTAAAATCTGGGACGGACGCACTGGAAAGTAAGAGAATCACCATCACAAGGAATAATAAATTAATTTGCAAGTAATACAACTTTTGTCCAGGCGATGGTGCTGTACAGCCAAAGATGTACATCTTAGAGATTATGACTACCTGCTTGTGTCCTTTTGCCCACAGGTACTTAATGTCCCTGCGTGGCCATGTGGCATCAGTGTATCAAATAGCATGGTCAGCAGACAGCAGGCTGCTGGTCAGCGGCAGCAGCGACAGCACGCTTAAAGTGTGGGATATTAAGAGTGGGAAGCTCAACATGGACCTGCCAGGTCATGCTGATGAGGTGGGGGAAGGAAATTTGATATAAATACTTCCTTCTAAATGCTGATTACTGTTCCTGAATTACCTTAAGTCTTATCCATGCAGGTTTACGCTGTGGACTGGAGTCCTGATGGGCAGAGAGTGGCCAGTGGCGGAAAAGACAAGTGTCTCAGAATGTGAGTATGATTCCAGTCAACCTGTCCATCCATCCATCTGTTTATCAGAGTTTCAGAATTTCCGCACACCTAAAACATCTACCTTGCGTTGTTTTTTTTCTTTCTTTCTTTAGATGGAGAAGATAACCACAGTTCTCTTCTATTTCTGGACTTTGACAAAGGATTGTCACATCATTTCCTTCCAAACAGCTGACAGCTGGAACAAGGGCAGCTAGACTTTATCTAATTACCCATTTGACTTCATAAGTATCTGTCACTAGTGGGAGTGTCAGAGAATGCAAATGCAGTCACAATACAAATGCCCATGTGGGAATATTAACAGTGCAAGAGCTTAAAAGCAATCAGATGAACCAGAATGTAAAATCATCTGCCTCTTAAATTTATTGCAAGTAGATTGTAATGTGTAGTATACCATCTCCTATTATCGTCTCATCTTGGTATACAATTCAATTTTAGATCAGGCGCTCTGACATGGCTTCAGAAACGTGCTCGGTTGCCATGCACATGTGGTTAAAAGCCAAACAAGGTTGTGCATCTATTGAAACCGATCCTGACACATGTTTATGGTTTCCTATTTTGGAGCAAGGAACTGCATATTTTCAGGACCATGTTTGCTACTTTGTCACCTTAGGCCTCACTAGATAAACTGAGTATCGGGTGGGGGCAGTGAAGCCTTCCTCTGTGATGTAAATGCAGATGGTGCTCGCCGTGCTCCTTCAGCCTTTAATCTCCTGTCAGCAAAGCTGCAATCTGCTGATTTTTCTGCCTCTGTGGTGAAGCCAAGTGTCACCAACTCTGTTTGAGTCACAGCCCGCACTGGAAATGCCAGGTTGACCATTTTTGTTACAGGAATGTAAGTATAAATCAGCATGTTTATATTAGTTTCCTGATCACACTCAAGAATCAGCTTAAAGTGTTCATCCACTTTAAGTGATCGTTTATTATAAAAGCACTGGTGGAAACCAGCATGTGAAATATATTCATTATTTACCTAAATGGGAAGTGTATTGAGCTCTGTTAGGTATGAACTCCACCGCCAATCATCAGATTTGTTTATAAAATCAAGATTTCCAGAAATATGTAATGGCAGTTCTTACTGTATAAATAAATATTTTTAACTAATCAGTGAAAGCAGTAGTTTTGTGCCTTCAACAGAACCTTGTGTCAGGTTTTAAAGCCACTTCAAACTGTCCTCTGGTGTAATTAGGCTGTTGGTTGTTTGCTGGAACTTGAACTTATTCAAACTACTGTGCAGTGACTCACTGTTTACATTATGACTGTTGATAAAAATATAAACAGTTGGATATTGTTGGGATTCAGCAGTGAAGGATGTTAACCTGGTTAACAAGCATTTTGCTGCTTGGATTCTTTCACCTGAACTTTAACACGTGCCAGCTCCACATCTGAAAACCATTTTTGTGTTGCACATTGAAGTATTGGACGACAATGATGACCGGACAGAAGCAGTGATTCTTTTTGGCATTTAAGAAATATGTTTATTCTCAAGTGAGGCCAAATTTAAGGAAGGTGTTTTTTGTTGGTCCTGAAATCTGTGAATAAATGTTTGAGGATGAGTTCAAAAGGAAACTAAAGCCAACTGAATCAGCAGCAGGTTTTCCAGAATTTTCTTGGCAATCACTGAGCAGAGGTTTATACTGAGCTGGTGGATAACATCCTGAAAGCTTATCAGCTAATGAGTGCCAGTTTACTGAAGGGGCACTTTTTACATTCTCCACTTTTTCCACCAAATCTCTGTGATCAGCACGGGGAAAGATTTCATCAAGATATAACAGTGATGGAAGCTGATATCAGGGAAATTTTTAATCCTGAGCATGATTGGTAACTGCTGTTGGTTCTTGCAAAGTGAGATTGATGTGCAGTACAAACGGAAAAGCAAGTGCCTCAAACATGTTTTAGCACTCTGACCTCATTATCTGCTGACCTCAAATCTGCTTAAACACGACTCTGGTATCATCTTGTGGTTTGTTTTCAAAACAAATGGATCAAAGCATCTTTAGTGGGAAATTGAAACCCAGATATTGTGCTATTTTGAACTGTCGAAACATAAATTGGACAAGCTTTCTGTAGTTATTTTAAATAAGTAGACGAAGATCTGGTCTGAAGTTCCCAGTAGCAAACGTTTCCTTTTTTTTTTTTTTTTTTTGGTAGACCAGAGTAATCTAACTCACTCACTCAGGCATAATAATCACAAGTTTATTAGTAATATCTGGTTATATGCATCATACATGAGCATTGATGGTTTTCAACAAAAACACCAAACCTTTAATGTGCCCAGCAGGGATCAACAGTGACTGCCAAATCTCAAATGCTGTTTCCCCTACGTATGAAAAGCAGTAAACCTTAAACACAAAGTCCAAACAGTTTTTTGTTTTTTTTTTAAAAAGTGCATTAATAAGTGAAAACGGTGGTAGAGCCCTAAACAAACAATATTTTGCTGCTCATGGTTTAAAGATTTTCTGCTATTGAGGACGTTATGCTAGAGATCCTGCTGAAGCAGTTTGGCAAAGAGGACAAAGGCTTCTGTGGTGCCACCAGGTCAATCAAATCTGAGCCTCCCCCATTGATTGAGCTTCTGACATGGTACTGTGGAAGTTTCAGGCGCTGTAGATGTGATATGGAGGGAAAAAAATATGTTTACTACATGTTGCAGATTAAAAATTATAAATTGTGCCAATATTTTGAAAACTTGTAGTACTGAAGTAAATTAGAGGAGCTAATTAGCAATTTTAGCAATCTTTAGCTTTTGAGATGCTTGACCTTCAGTTAAAGAATCTTAAAATTGCTTAATGTCCAATTAGTCCTTTTGATGAGTGAATCCATAAGCAGAACAGCTGAAGATTGAAGATTATTAAAGTAATATGGCTTATTTTCAGCTTGGCACAACCTTTCTTCCCCCCATGCTTCACGCCTGCATTTGCTTAAATGGTTCAGACTGAGGGTCAGAATAAAGCAATACGGATCAAATATTCCCAAATGAAGCCTTCATGTGCTGCTGTAGAGAATTCAAAGCTTTAAGAATCTTACCAGATTAGCAACCAAAAGCTCACCAAATCCCCGTGTAAAGACTGCGCTACATGCAGATTTGTTTCCTACATCACTAGATTAATCATCACTTCTGACAGGTTGAGACCCTGAAATGATCCGCTGGAGAGGCACAGGCTCCAGACCAGTTTGTGTAGCCTTGAGCAGCCTGCGAGCCACTGTCAGTGTGTTAGACTGATGCCACAGTAAAATACATGCAGCAATACTTTGTACACAGCAGCGGCTGTAAAATGTTCATCTCAGAGTTCATCATAGAGACACAGAAAAGATATCCTGTGAACGTTACAGTGCGATGATGCCACAAGCACAGCAGGGTAAGCAACGGCAACGCTATGATGTGTTGAAACACTGCACAGATGTGTTAAAGCATCGCCCCCTCTGTCGTTCTCTGCTCAGTATAGTAAGTACTCAGTGAGTCAAAAGACACATTAATGGTTTCGTTACAAAGTGTTCACTCTACATGTAAGGTAACAACAGTCATCAAAAGCTAAAACAGTGGTCATGTGTTTTCTTCCTTTTTGTTCCCCTTCTAAATTTGGACCTTTGAGTCAAAACGTTTCCATTTGTTATATCATGTTTGTGATGATGAGATTTACAAAACCGAGCTTACAAGTTAGGTCAGGTGCACCGAACACGTCCTCCCCTCGTCTCGCCCTTCAAAATCAAATCATCTCCGGTTAGTCTGACATTGAACTATTTAGTGCAACTAACGTCTCTGCTTTTCCTTTTCAGTCACTTTGTTTAGAGTCTTTTAATTTATTTAGAATGTGTAACAGTGTGGAGACTGGCCGAGACGACATGTCATCTGCTCGTGGCCATCAAATTGATCAAGAACGAGATTAGAGGTGTTCAGTTGTGCATAGCATGAGGCACTGGTCTGTGCTCCCCCCACCTCTCCCGTCTACTGGGTCTTCCACACATTGTTAAGCAGTTTGACCACCTCCTCATAGATGACGAAGACTATGGCCACATCCAAGCACACGCGGCCAAGCCTGGGAACTGTCCCTTTATAAAACCTGCAGGAGGACGACGACAAGGCGAGATGAGGTTAGATGTAAGATTTTAAAAAAAAAAAACAGAAAAAAAAAAACGAAGACAAGCTAGAAAAGGAGGATATCAGTTACTGACACTTGCGGTCCTTCTTGTTTCAAGATCTGGAAGGCACAGTCCATTGTGTTTTTGTAGCGGTGAGCCTCCAAACCCTACAAACCAGTAAAACAATGGTTTTCAAAAAGATAACCAGACGACAGCAAGAAAATCATTAGAACTTATGCTTCCCTACCTGCATCCTGGTCTTAACGACATCCAGAGGTGTATTTCCAAAAACGCTAGCCGCTCCCGCTGTTGCTCCAAACATGGCTGTGACGATTGGGTGCATTTCTTTCCTGGAATCATCCCCTTAGAGGTCAAATCCAAACATGCATTAATGTCCAACCCATGGGGAGGGAAGCCCATCAGTCAACTGTGACTGCTCTAACAGGCAGTACGCTTGCATGATATTGGAGCAAAGCACACTTTCTCACCTTTGTACCAATTGCGAAGTGCGTTCATGACATAAAATCGGATGGCCTGATTCGTTCCTTGTTTAAGCACGGTTGCCGTTAGGCCTTGATACGTCCCCCTCACACCTGAACGGGTTAAAACAGTTTGACTCATTGTGAAACACAAGCACACGTGCACATCTGTAGTTACAACCACTCGGCTGCTTTAGATTTCCTTCTCTTACCTTGCTCTCTGATAATTTCGCTGACTCCGTGAAAGAAGCCTCTGTAGCGAGGCCGGAGGGAGCACTGGTCGTGGATCAGCTTCACCTGCAAGATTTCATAAGACCAGTTTACTCACTGATGACACGACAGACCCGTGTAGTCACACACACGCTCCTCCAACGAACCTTGAGCGTCTCCATGGGGCAGACCACTATTATTGCCTCTGTTATTCCGGCGCCCAAACCACACAAGAGGCTCCGTGTGTTGTCTAGCCGCCCTGTCGCATCTCGCATTGGATTGCTGAGCATTTCAAACATGCCAAACCTGTAAGAAAGATTGGTTGATTGACCGGGTCACCACCAGAGCAATACTGGCAAAAGTTATCAAAACAAATAAAGCAGCTGGTTTGAAATGCAATTTATCTATTCAGTTCAATTCCATTTCATTTACACAGTGCCAAATCACAACAACAGCTGCCTCAAGGCACTTCATATTGTAAGGTAAAGACCCTACAGTTACAGAGAAAAGCCCAACTATCAGGTGATCCCTGTGAGCAACCACTTTGGTGACAGTGGGAAGGAAAAACTTTCTTTTAACAGGAATAAACATCCGGCAGAACCAGGATTAGAGAGAGGCAGTCATCTGCTGCTACTGGTTGGGGGTGAGAGGGGAGACAGGACAAAAACGTTATCTAGAGTGAGTGTAGACTGCTGCTTTTTCTTTATGGTCTCTTTTCATGTTTAAAAGCCCAGTTTGAAAAACATAGATGCTGGTTAACTAAGTACTAAGAAATGCTGTGTCACTGATTCAACATCAGTCAGCTGCTTCATCAGTTTCAAGTTTGCAACCCAGCTCATCTGTGATTCTGCAAAACAAAAGGATGCAAGAGGCCCAAGTGCTTCCCTATCACAGCCACGCTTCTTTTATTCCTTTTGAATTGTTTCGAGTGTGTGCGTGTGTGTGTGGGGGGGGGGGTTCTCACATAATCTTTATATTAAACTACTCTATATGATACATGCATCTTCACCTGACTGCAGACTTGGGTATTGAGCCATACAGCAGGGAGCTGAGACCTCTATACAACCCCCTGAGCCCATGGTCTTGCACAGTCAGCTTCACGCAGTCACCTGTAAGTACACAGCATGCCCACGAGTGAGTAGACCAGCACAAGACCAACTTCACATGTATGTCCCAGTGACCTACCAATCCCTCTGTATCGCGGCGGGTTTACTCTTGCATCTAGCTGCAGCTGGGTCTTGACATACTCTGTAGGGAAGGTGATACAGATCTCGATTCCTCCTGCGATGCCACCTGAATGAGGAGACAAGGGGAGAGGGAGAATCGCTCACTGTGCACAA